AGTGAAATCTACCTGATTTGACATAAAAGCAAATGAGGTTTTAATCTTTAAAAAAGATCTCCATTTTTCATTATTAAAATACAGTTTCATATAGAAAAATTCATTTTTAATACAACTGACACTAAGATGCATATGTGTTTCTAATCGATCTGAAGAAGCTGTATTTTTTCTTTCTTAAAACATTTTGTTTATTATTTTTATTTTATGTATATGCATATTGCCTGAATGTATATAAGTGTACCTATGTCATGCAAAGCCCACAGAGGTCAGAAGAGAGCGTCGGATTCCCCTGGAACCGGAGTTATGGACAGTTGTTAGCTGCCATGTGGGTGCTGGAAATCAAACCCAGGTCCTCTGCAAGAGCAGCCAGTGCTCTTAATTGCTGAGCTATCTCTCCAGCCCTATTTTTTTTAATGTATATTTTTCTTAAATTTTATGCAATTCATACAATGCATCTTAGTCATATTTAGACCCCCTCCTCTATCTATGCCCATCCCCTGTATCCTGCCTACAAATTTCATGCATTCTGTCATATATGTTAAGGCCTACAGAGTCAAGTTTGTGTACTCAGACGTCTTTTGGTGTGAGCTCATCCACTGGAGCCTGGTCAGCATATCTAGCATCACTCCCTTAAAGAAGATCAGCTCTCCCTCACCCAGCAGTGATCAGCTGCCAGTAGTTCCTCAGCTAAGGTTGGGGCCTCCTGTCCTTTCCCCCAGTTCTTCGGTGGGTTTTTGTCTGGTTTAGTTTGCATAGGTCTTGTGCTTGCTGCCACCATTCCTACAAGATCATTTGAGCAAGTTCCAGAGGCCTGGAAGACTGTGTTTCCTTGTGGTCACACACCACCCCTGCCTCTTACGATTTTTCTTCCCCCTCTTCTGCAATGGTCCCTGAGCCCTGGGTAGGTAAGGTTTATTATGGGAGTCCTATCCAGGGATATGCACTCTGAGCACTCTGAAGTCTCTTATTCTCTAATCTTTGCCCTGTTGTGGCCTTCTTTGATCATCACCCTTTGTTGCAGGAGGAAGCTCAAGAAACTATATATAAATATTATTTATTATTTTTATTTCATTATTTTATGTGTATGAATGTATTGCCTTAAGGACAGTTTGTAGCCGCCATGTGGGTGCTGGGAATCGAACCTTGGTCCTCTGCAAGAACAGTCAGTGCTCTTAACACTGAGCCATCTCTCCAGCCCCTATTATTTTTATTTTATGTGTATGCGTGTATTGCCTGCATGTAGGTAAATGCACCCATGTCATGTAATGCCCGTGGAAGACAGAAAAGTTTGTCAGAGCCCCTGGAACTGGAGTTACAGACAGTTGTTAGCTGCCAGGTAGGTGCTGGGATTCGAACCCAGGTCTTCTGCAAGAACAGTCAGTGTTCTTAACTGCTGAACCATCTCTCCAGCCCCAAGAAGCTATATTTTTTAAAAATTTCATTCATTTATTTATTTTACTTTTACTTTATTGTTTATTTAAAATTACATATTTACTTTATTTACATATGCATGTGTATGCACACACATGCACATTTGTGTCACAGAATGTATGTGGAGGTCAGAGGACTACTTGGGGGAGTCAGTTCTCTCCTAACCATGTGGGTCCCAGGAATTGAACTCAGGACATCAGACTTGATAGCAAGCATTTTTAGCCATTGAGCCATCTTTCCTGCCCAAGAAGCTGTTCTTTTTTAAACAGATCCTCAGTGGTTCTTTTTCATTCCCAGAAGGATTTGAGGACTGTTGCAGGGACAATGCCTTCTCCAAGTCAACTAACTGATCACATGTTAGTTGAACTTGGCTCTTGAAGAGGTGCATGAAAAACATCTTATTTCAGATCTTAGCTGAGTGTGGTAGTTCACACCTGTAATATAAGCACTTGGGTGATGGAAGCAGGAGGATCAGGAGTTTAAGGACAGCCTTGGCTACATAGCAAATTTGAGGCCAGCCTGAGCTACTTGATAATTTGTCTCAAAAATAAAACCTAAATAAAACAAAACAAGCAAACAAGTAAACAAACAACAAACAAAAATTCCAAAGTCAAATCTCTTCTTGGAGAGAGCTGCTGGTGTCGGGAGGCTGTAGTTGGTGGCCAGTAGGTAGGCTTCCAGAGGGCTCGGAGATGTGCTGCCCCAGTCAATCAATTCCTTGTGGATTGTTAGAGCTCAGCCCACACTTCCTGTCCATCCTGTCCCTTTCCACAACAATTTCCACCATGTTCTGCTTCAAATGGAGTCTTGCTCCATATGGTTTGCATCAGGCCACAGCAGGCTCTAGGCCACCCCGAGGTGGGCACCAGCAGCCTCCCTCTACTGTCCCCTACCAAGCGGGGTATGGTCCCACCTGCCAGGCCTCATTCCTCCCTCTGTTCTTTCATCTTCTGGGAGATCTGATGCTTTGAGTGACTTACAGCAGAATTCTTTATAAGCCCTCAAAGACTTTGAGCTATTAGCAGTTTATTCCAGAGACTTTCTATCCACAGTGCTTTCTCGTGTATGAGGCCAGGCAGCTTGGTTCCCTTCCTTTCAGATAAAACACGTACACTACATTCAAACAGGGTGTAGCTGAGTATTTTTAAAAAGATAAATCATATTTCATCCACAATATGATTTAGAGGGTCTGATCTTATTTTTCATACTTCCTTCATATCACATGCTGCTGTGTACAAACTAGGTAGAAATAAGCCACAAGCAGCCGCCTGTTTCCTTTGAGTATCAGAGTCACCTGGATAAACTTGATAAGATGCAGATTCCTGGACCTCATCCCAGACTTACTGAGGAGAGATCCCTTAGGAGGGATCCAGGGACCAAGATCTCTGGATTCTTTTGCTTGTGTGCTGAAGGTTGAAAGCTCCTGCTTCGGAGGGTGGACAGAATGTAGATGACAAGAGATCAGGAGGACAAGGCAAGAGAGCATGGTAGGTGCCACCCTACCTGGATTTGAATCTAGATTCCACATCTCCTCTCCGCCCAGTTGGATTCATTTATGAGAAATCTGTAAAACTATAGTATTTACCTCACTGGTGGCTGTGAGGATTGAATGAGTGACTTGTGACAGTCATTTAAAAAGGGCCTGGCCATGCTTAGGGCTCCAAATGTGTTAGCTGTGGGCATTTTTCTGTGCCAGGGGAAGGGCACCCACAAAGTCAAATGGATGAAAATGGGTGGCCTCTCTGAAGGAGGGGAGCCACCCAACAGTTGACAGCAGAAGGTTCGAGACAGTGGTTTGCAAGAAATCAACCTGGGGCCAGGGGAGAGGGTGGAGGGGGGGAAATGGAGAGATGGCTTAGCAGTTACAAGCATTGACTGCTCTTGCAGAGGACCTAGGTTTGGTTCCCAGCACCTGCATGGCAGCTAACAACTGTCTATAAATCCAATTCCAGGGGATCTGACAAAATGCTACAGAAGCATTTTACTGACGGAACCATTTCTCCAGCATTTAAATTTTTAAAATTATGTTATTTACTTAAGTAGTAGTAGGCAACCCCAGGCCCAGTGCATACTAAACACGCAGCTCTACCACTGAGCTACACCCCCTAGCCCTCAAATTTTTAATGATAATGACCAGCAAAATTTCAGAAACCCTGGTTTAGTTGGAGGAGGCCTGGTATCAGGAGTTGAAAGGCATCCTTTGATTTGACTAGGGTCACAGAAAGTATGGACACTAACTTCGGACTTCACATCTGCTTTATTAGGTATGTCCAGAAAGCAGCAGAAGTATCCGGGAAGTACAGTGTGCATCCTACAACAATAAACCATTCATGGGCCGGTTTTATGAATGGGAGCCATTTGCAGAAGGTAAGACAGTTGGGTCTGTTTTGCTGACTCAGTCCTGTTGGTAGGAATTATTTCTGTCTGTTTTCTAACCCTGTTGTTTTCTGGTTGATGCTGATGCATTGAGGTGATCCTGGCTGGAGAAAATGTGACTCACAGAGCAAAGAGGGCTGCAAGGGTCTTTACCATTTGTTGCATAGCTCAGGTGACAACTGGACTATCTTGAACCATGGGACATGGGTTGAAATAAGCAAGTTTTCCCATAGCAGGGGAAGGAGAACAGAGCAGGGTTCATAGAATTGGATGGAACAGGAGATTCAAGTGTGAGGTGTGAGTGAGCCATGATACTTGTTAGAAAGGCTGGAGTGTAAACTTAAGGAAGCATGTGGAGTTAATTATTGCTATGATGTTCTCGTATGGGTGACCTCCCACACTATTTCTAAAGATAAAGGAAAATAGACCAAGGTCCCTTGCATGTCACAATGACAATATGAAACTGATAGCACTTGTGGATACTGCAAGATTCATGTTAGTTTATTAAAATTCACATGGTAAGGACTTTGGACTGAGACATTTTCAGTTCTGAGATGGTTCTTAGAGGTAGGCCAAGGAGCAGTAAGTGGTCCAGTAAAGCTCATGGGGTTTCTACACTGACAGCCCAGTTGACTGGAGTCCAGCTGCACAGTGGAGCTCTTTGCCTGGCTATCAATTCTCAGCCTCACCCAGAGGCAGTGACTGGAGCTTCTGGAGTGAACAAAACCCACAGTCCAGAATATTGCAGCTGCATCCAGGGTCTGGAAAATGCTTCAGGAGACATTGATGGTGAGACGTGCTGATAGTAGTGTAGAATTAACACTCAGGAGCCAGACCAGTATCACCAAAACAGGTATTTATTGGCCACCCCTGCCTTTTGGTAGCAAGCAAAAGAGATCAATATCCACTGCCCTGAAACTAGATGCAAAGCCTGCATTTTTCTCTAAGGAGAATTCATATGTTCTGTTTGATTCTCAGATGACCTCATGACCTCAAAATTGTTAGGCACAAACTTGGTTAAAAAAATTGATGTATCAGACCCAAAAGAGAACAGTAAACAGATGAGACCAAGAGCCAGCTGAATGCAAACTCAAGGGTGGGTCCAGGGTTAGAGGGTGAGCTAGGGAAGGAGGTTTAAAGGGAAGTTTGATTCTTTGGATAGAGGTCAGAACATTTCCATTCTTAAAAATACTAAACTGAGTTCAAGATGATATTCTAGTTTGGGTCCTGAAATAGAAAAAGGCCATCATTGGGAAACCTGGGAAATAGGCTGAGTGTGCGGCTCAGTTCACTGTGCTGTACCAGTGTCCGTGTCTTAGGTTTTTATAAATCCTCCATGGTTTGATAGGATTGGAAGAAGTTAGGTGACGGGTATAGAGGTTTCCTTGTGCTATTTTTGAAGTTGTTCTGTAACTCTGAAATGGTTTCAAAATACAAATTTTATTTTAAAAAGGTATTGTACTTTCAATTAGCTAGGTCTTATGCAGATTCTGTGTGGTTTTATGTGAAGACTTCATATGCATAAGGAAGAATGCACTGGTTTAGATTGTGTGCCCCACTCATTTGTGTTCTTTCTAGAGTCTCAGTATGCACCCTTATTTGAAAGGAGAGTTGAATTATCCCAGATATGATTACCTAGGTAAAGCCTGTACTGAAGTTGGGCGGGTTTATAGTCTAGGATGCCTAGTGTTCTCATAAGGAGAAAGCTCACAGGCACAGAGAATACCAAGCTTGGATGAAGGCAGAAACTTATGTACCTGTAAGTCAGGTAATAACACCATGATTATTGGCAACCAGCATTTTGCTTTTTGACTTCCAGCCTCCAGAACTGTGAGAATAAACTTCTGTGTGTTAGGCATCCTTGACTGTGATATTCTGTCATGGTGATGATGTTGGATAAACAAAGGGAGAAGAGTCAGGTTGTGGATCCCTTGGGATCTCCTGGTGTGTCGTTCACGAAGTAGCTTGTTCTGAGGAGTAGGAGGAGGTGCCCTGGAGAAGTGAGACATGTCACCATGATGGGTCCAGGTCTACGCAAGGCAATGTTCTCGGCCCTAGGCACTTAGTGGTGCCACTGAGGAACCTTCTAGAAATGTTAGTGCTTGAGCCCCACCCTCCAGAGATTGCAACTTAATTCGTCTAGGATGCAACCTGGGCTTCTAGATATTTTTTTTTTTTTTAAGATCCCAGATGATTCAAATGGGGCTGAGAAACTTGGGGTTTTGGCTGAGCCACATTCGCACTTTATTGCTAGACTTATGCGTACTAGCTGCTGTCTTGTGATTAACTGGAAGGAAAGATGCATTCCCACAGCAGAGCACCCTGCTCAGGTATTGTGCACACCCCTGTCCCCCCAGAGCTGAAGCTGTGGACTGGATCTTCTCTGCCTGGACAGAATTGTCAGCAGCTAGCCACTTGGCCAAGACTGCAGAGCCTGATAGACTTGGATCTTGATATTAAGAGTTCTAGGCAGCCACAAAGAAATCACTGTGCTGATGTTTGCAGCTGTTCTTGTGGAAGTTTGCTCTTGTCTGGTTTAAGTATCATTCTGTCTTCTCTGTTTATTTTTCCTCCTGATTTGTGCTGTACTGATTTGTGCTGTACTTTAAAGGAGAACTGAAAGGACTTATTAATTGAACATTTGTCTAAATTTATTTTTAGAGAAAATTTCAAACATAGTTAAAAGTAAAAACACTAGTATAAGTGTCCATATACCTATCAATTCAAACAGCTATCAACTCAAGACTGATTTTTTTTTTTTGAGACAAGGTCTAATGTATCCAGGCTGGCCTCAAACTCATAGCATAGAATGATCTTAAATTTCTAATCTTCCTGCCGCACCCACAAAGTGCTGGGATTACAGGTGCCACCATGCTCAGGTTAGTGGTTGATTTTTAAAAACTAATACAGACCCAAATTATGGATAACTACTTGAGTTCCTATTATACAGCACTGTTTCTTACTGGAAATATCAGTTATCTTCTGGCTGTAACTGATAGAATCCAAACTCAATGCATTTAACCAAGAAAGGAATTCTGTTGGTCACATTACTAAGAAATTGAAGGGGTGAGCAGGGATTCCGATTGGCTGCAGTCCAGTGCCCACAGCACCAGGACCCCTGCATTTTCCATGGTTCTTCAATGCTTGGTTCTGTCTACTTCTTTCTCACACAGGTAAGCAGTGGGCTTATGTGGCTTTGAGCATATAGCTGGATGATGATGATGACGAGAGAGAGAGAGAGAGAGAGAGAGAGAGAGAGAGAGAGAGAGTCTTTCCTCTGTCCTACCAAAGATACGTTAAAGCCCTAATCCCTGGTACCTGTGAATATGACCTTGGAAACAGTCTTTCCAGCTGTAATCAGATAAGTTAAGAAGAGGTCATACTAGAGCAGGGTGGTCCTTACCTGCTGTGACTGCTGGCCTAACAGGCACAGGGGCACATGTAAGAACTCAGTGTAAAGACGAGGGGAATATAGCTAAAGTAGAGGCAGATGGGTTGAAGTGCTGGGGCTATAAGCCAGGGGCACTGGGGATTGTCAGCAACTGCTGGAAGCCAGGAAGAAGCATGGAAATATTTTTCACCCAGACATGTCAGCAGGACCCTGCCAACACCTAGACATTGATCTGTGGCCTCTAGAGCTGTGAGAGTTGATTTCTGTTGCCGACTGCCTTGTGTGCTATGTTACACTGTGCTAAGAAACTCACATGTCCAGTGACTTTCAGTGTCAGAAAAACTGTATGGTGATCTTATCTAATCACATTTCTATCCGTGAACCATGTTTTAGGCATTGGGGGAGGTGTCCTTGGGCTAGCTCAGGCTGGCCCTGTTGTCAGGGACCTACATCCCACGAAGCAGAGAAGGGAAGTGGGGATTGGGCCTGATACTTGAACACATTCTTCTGCAAAAATCAATATTGGGGTTGGAGAGCTAGCTCAGCCAGTAAAGTGCTTGCTTTGCAAGCATGAAGACCCGAGTTCACCTCCCAGCACTCACAAAACAGAAAAGACCAGGCATGGTAGCATGTACTTGTAATTCCAGCACTGGAGATGGAGCCAGGCTCTGGGGCTCATTGGATAACCAGCCTAGTCTAATCGGCATGCCCTAGGTTCCAGTGAGAGACCCTGCCTCAAAGAACAAGCTGCATGACCCCCCGAGGAACATTGGCCTCTACATATATATGTACGGGTGCATGTGAGCCCCCTGCATATCTCTCTCTCTCTCTCTCTCTCTCACACACACACACACACACACACACACTCTAGTATGTGTGTGATGACTATAAGCCACTGAGATTTTAATGGGTTAATTCAAATCCTGGTATTTTACAAAGCAAAAGAGAACGCAGAAGGATCCCAGATTTATCAGCCATCTTCTGCAATGTGTCATTAGAAAATTTAGCTGTCTTCAAGATTTACTGGTAATGGTATTTCTCATGTACCTAAGAGAGAAAGAGCCCATGGCTACTGGAGTTACATTTACTTTGGCTTTGTTTAAATAATTCTTCTTCTTCTTTTTTCTGCTAAGATTGTTTTCTTGACTTTCTTCTTCCTCTCAAACGATTCCCAGGCTGAGCAGTGGGAGGAAGACACTGCTAATGTTTCTGTGGGGTGTTTAGGCTTGACACTGGATTTTACATTGGGCTCTGAGCTGTGTCTGGATGTCTGTTGCTATTCACATGTGCCTACTTAGGAAAACAGCTGCACGCATTCAGCCCATGCCACATAGAATAGTAAAAGCGGAGAACAAGCTCTGATAAACACATTAATTTCACCAGATGGTTCTTCTTAGGCCTTTAATCGCATTTCCCGGATACAATGACCTATCTTCAGATAATGCCTCTAGGAATTTTTCTCAGAGCCCTGGACCTTAAGAATGTAAAAGGAGTGGAAGAAGAAATCAGGATGTCTCTGTGTCCTTGCTTGCCTAGGAGGATAAAGGTTTGGAGCTGTCATCTAGTCTTCTTTCACTCGCATACCTGGCTTGGACAATAT